GTATTAAAAACAATTAATAATATATGTTTATACATCTATTAGATATATAACCAGACAGTATAGACGTACTATTCTTCTAATAAAACTAATAGTTTTTAATAATACTTATATGTTATGATAATGTTGAAGAGATAAATTAAAAAATATAAAAAAGAGAACACTACTATAATATGACCTTAATTGGATTATTCCTGACTGGAATAAAATCTTAGATAGACTAAAATAAGGTTTGAGGAAAGTAACTTAACAAACTTTAATAAATAGGAGAGTAAATAGAATACTAATAAAGGAGATTACATTTCAAATACTGATAAAAAGAAGATTAATTAAAAGGAGAAAACTTAATACTAATTAAAATGATAAGTTGACGCTAAAAAATTGTGTTTAAACAGATAAAACTGTATTAAAAGGAGGGGACTGTGTTATAAAAAGGCATTAAGCTCGAAGTCCACATTTAACCCTTTGGGTTCTAAAGTGTCTAATTTAAAAATCCACTTGGCTTTTGCTTTATTCAATTCTTTTTCTAGGTCTCCTCCTCTCCATGGAATATAAATTTTCTGTATTGCATGAAGTTCAATTCTATTGCGTTTCTGCCATGTTTAATATCATAATGTCTTGAAAGATTATGTGTATGAAGACCTTTGATATTTCTTATATGTTTTGTTTACTCTTGTCTTAAGCGCTCTTTTGGTTCGTCCAATATATATTTTATTACAGGGACAGCGTAACATATAAATGACTCCTGTAGAATTGCAACTTAAGTGAGTTTTAATTGTAAATATTTATTTTGTTTGAGGATGATTAAATGTTTTGCTGTGTGTTTGTTGATTAGGATTGTTCCTGCATGCTATGCATGTTTTACATTTCCAAAACCCTTTCATATTTTTGGATTCTGTAGAATTTCTGTCTTCTGGTTTTTCCTGTTTAGTGGTTGGTGCCAGTAAAGTGCTTAAGTTAGGTGCCTTTGAATAAATAATTAAAGGTTTATTTCCTAATATTACGTCTAATTCTGGGTCCCCTTTAAGGATATTCCAATGTTTCTGTAAGATATTTCTTACTTGGCTTGATTGGCTATTGAATCTAGTAATGAATGATGGAATATTCAAATCTTTGGTGGAATTGTTTAACTTGGTTTCTAAAATTTGTGGATGTGATAATTTGATAGTTTTATTAATAGCTTTGTTAAGTAAGTCTTCAGAATAATCTTTAGCTTGGAATTGGGACTTCATCTCTTCTATTTGTTGAGTGCAGATTGCAGGTTCCGAGCAGTTTTGTTTAATTCTTCAGAATTGGCTAAATGGTATATTGTTTAGCCAAGTAGGTTTATGAAAACGATCATGTGAAATAAAACTGTTACATGCAACCGATTTTCTAAATGTTTTAGTTTCTATCCTATTGTTCTTAATATAAATCTCCAAATCTAAAAATTCCAGTTTTTCTTGTGATTAAAAGTAAATTTGAGATTGTAAGGATTAAAATTTAAGTATTCCTTAAAAGAATCCAATAAAAGAACATCTCCTCTCCAGATAAAAATGACTGCAAAGTCAGCGCTAAATATTTATAAAAAGTACACGGCTGCACACCTCAAGGAAAAAAGGGGAGTCCCCTCTAATCCCCTGTGAATAAATATAACACAAAACAAAAAAGGCTGTTGTGGAGAATGACCACCTGTATCCAGGCATCCGGCTGTTGGGGATCTGGGACTGCTGCCCAGCTGAACACACTCGGCCATCCAAATGTGCCGCTGGACTGCGTACCACCAGAGCATCTGGTACGAGTCGTCCAATATCAGTTCCCTATTGACCAGGGACTCAAAGTGCCTTACCCGCTCCGTCCCAGGTTGTTACCCCAGAAATGCCATCCGTTGGGTCACTTGTTCCTGCCAGCGGTGCGCTACACTTGGAAGGCTCTCCTCCCGCTGAAGCTGGGCCCCCATCCAGGGCATTGTACCAATGTTCCTTCTGGACTACATCTCTCCATTCCAGGTCACTGTCCTCTTTGAATGGGAATGATGCCCGGGGGCTATCCTTTTCCATTCTCCTGAGTGTCTTGCCAATCCTGGTTACTACCAGATGTGGCAGTATACCCTCCTGAAGATTGGTTTCTACCGCCTGTGGTCACCCCCTCCTAGTTGTGATAGCTCCAGAGTGATTATTGTTGCCAGTGATTATAGGTATTGCCATAGGGGAAACTGCAGTCACCAAAACACGAGCTGAGGCTTATTGAAGGGTGAAGAAGAACTGTTTATTCCCAGCCAAATGGCTCACATTTATACAGAATCTGGTACAGTAGACACTCCTCAAAACATATCCATAGACACACCCACAAAATGTCTACAAAATGCATTTTGATCGTGCCTCAGCAAAAACAGTAACAAATAGGAAAAACCATAAAAATACATATTTCCCACATAGGAACCCCCACAGTCTATACATCCCCGGATAGCCTGGATCTGAGCGCCCAACATATCCGAAAAGCGCTCAAATCCCATGAACAGAGCCATTGTGTGGAGATTCTGACTGACCGCACACATGGTCCTATGCCCAAAACAGTTCCAGGGTGATTTGTGCTTTTGTGCAACTTTGGTAGTTCCATGTGAAAGAAATACTGAAAGCACAGCTTAGAGCTCAGAGGTCGTCTGCAGTTCGTGGGTTGGTTCAGTTCCCGAACAGCCCAAGGGAATCCCACGTACCCAGTCTTTCAATAGCCTTTTAGCATGGCCCATAGTCCTGAGGCAGAAGGCTAGCAAGCAGACTCCTCCAGGAGCCTGTGGCGAGGGCAAGTTAGCCAAAATCAGTCATTTTTAAAATCAATGCCAACATTTCACAATTTCTGCCAAGGTATGCAAACTTTTGATCACAACTGTCTGTGTATATATATATATATATATATATATATATATATATATATATATATAAATATATAAATATATATATATCCTGTTCCAAACTATTATGCAAATTATATTTTTCTCATTTACCTAAATAATTGATGTAAATAACAGTCAGCATAATTCTCATGTTATCAACTATTAAGAGTACAATTCAAATTTTATTGAACAAACCTCCTAATGATAACAGTATTTTCTTTAAACATAAAAACTTACAATGCACTGTTCCAAATTATTACGCACAGTAAGTTTCAAAACACTTATAGGTTGTAAAGAACTGAAAATTGTCATTTGTTGTGTTTGCAGCATATTTACTGAAATCAAAAGCTATTTCAATCAAACTTATAACAACATTTTAACTTTTTAAACATTTTAACAGGTCACGCTACATTTTAACATAGGACCCCTTATTTGATAGCAGCTTCACAAGTCTTGCATCCATTGAACTTGTGAGTTTTTGGACAGTTTCTGCTTGAATTTGTTTGCAAGATGTCAGAATAGCCTCCCAGAGCTGCTGTTTGGATGTAAACTGCCTCCCACCCTCAGAGTTATTTTGCTTGAGGATGCTCCAAAGGTTCTCAATAGGATTGAGGACAGGGGAGGATGGAGGCTACACCATGACTTTCTCTCCTTTTATCCCCATAGCAGCCATTGATGCAGAGGTATTCTTTGCAGCATGAGATGGTGCATTGTCATGCATGAAGATGATTTTATTATGGAAAGCAGAGTTCTTCCTTCTGTACCAGGGAAGAAAGTGGTCAGTCAAAAACTCCACATACTTTGCAGATGTCATCTTGACACCTTTAGGGACCCTAAAGGAGCCGACCAGCTCTCTTCCCATGATTCCGGCCCAAAACATGACTTCACCACTGCCTTGCTGATGTGGCAGCCTTGTTGGAACAGGATGGCCATCCACTACTCCATCCATCTGGACCATTCAGGGTTGCACGGCACTCATCAGTAAACAGGGCTGTTTGAAAATTAGTCTTCATGTATTTTTCTGCCCAATGCAGCCGTTTCTGCTTGTGAGCATTGGTTAGTGGTGGCCGAATAGATTGTTTATGCACAGTTGCAAGACTCTGGAGGACTCTACACCTTGATGTCCGTGGGACTCCAGAGGCACCAGCAGCTTCAAATTTCTGTTTGTTGCTATGTAATGGTATTATAGCACCTGCTCTCTTGATCCAATCTGCCTTTATCTGCACGAACCCGTCTGTGCACTGAATCAGCCACAAATCTCTTAATAGTGTGATGATCACGCTTAAGTTTTCGTGAAATATCTAATGTTTTCATACCTTGTCCAAGGCATTGAACTATTTCACTCTTTTCAGCAGCAGAGAGATCCTTTTTCTTCCCCATATTGCATGAAAATGGTGCTCTGCTTAATAATGTGGAACACTCTCCTTTAGTAGTTTTTCCTTAAATTGGGCTCACCTGGCAATCTAATTATCACAGGTGTCCGAGATTGCTTTCAGTGATCAAAAGAGCCCTGAGACACAATTCCATCCATGAGTTAAACTGAAAAACAAAATATTTAATCTTTGTGACACTTAAATAGAATTTGCATAATAATTTGGAACAGGGTGTATATATATATATATATATATATATATATATATATATATCTCAAGAAGAAGTGCACACAAGGGTTTTCTTCTCACAAAATCGTAATTTCTTTTTTACTTTATAAGCAGGACATCATACAGAAGTCAATGTTTCAGACTCTACATGAAGGATCTGTTTACAAAGTAATAAAGCACTAAATATTTAATGTTTTGTGATAAGAAATCCCTTCTATTTGGTTTCTGATAAGTGGCTGGTCGCTGCACTGAAGGGAGGAAGATTATAGTGAGATTGTATGCTTAGTCCTTGTGGAATATATATATGGAATATCCATATGGTTACAACTCCCAACCATTTCTTCCTTCTCACCCTGCTATCAATCCAACTGATTCTTTTATTCCACAACCAGCTCCCATATCACTCCCAAGCAATACCTTCTATCCACATTCCTTTCTTTCATTATTTTCTCAACCCCATCCCAGCCACCATACTTACATTTTTATTTTTTGTATTTTAAACTAAGGCACTGGTGCACCAGAAAAATAAAGTGTGTGTGTGTGTGTGTATATATATATATATATATATATATATATATATATATATATATATATATATATATACACACACACACACACACACACACACATACGTCACTGAAAACCTGGTGGATATGGTAACCCTAGTCTTAGGCAACATTCACAAATAGAGTGTGTCTAATGATGTGCTCACTCTGTGCTGTCTGAGGACATCGCCAGATGGGGACTTCAGGGAACAATATCAGGGAGGCTGGGACAAGACCCTGAAACCAGTACTATTCTCCTACAGTTGGGGGGGCATACAGATATAGGCAAATAATTGTATAGGCCAAAATAATTAATAAACTGAAAGCTCTTTCCAGAAAAGAAAGATGAATTCCTGTAAATTATTGCCTGAGAAGCTAATTCTAGGTGTTTCTGTGACTAATCTAGTTAATTTGTTACAGCTGGGTGGGCATCTGCAAAATAACACCTTTCATGTATTAAAATTTACTTCAGAATATATTTAATGACTGTTATTAATATAGGAAGTCTGTTAATTATCTGACTATGGTACTGTGCAGCAAATCAGTCTACATGTGAACATTTTAAATTGGTGATTCACATTGTGTGCATATAGTTTAACTGCATACATTCCACAGGCTATATCACATTTTCATCACAAAATAAAGTGTTCAAACTAAAATAAACATGATCCCTAAAGCTTTACATTTGAATATTAAATGACAATGTAAAAAAAAACTTGAACATCAATGATTCAGCTCAGCATTATTACAGAACACTTTATTTTGGACGGTCTCAGAGCAGTGTGGAGTGAGGTAACCCATCCTTTAACTACATCAAGATTATCAAAATTAGGGTTACTGTTGGGTTATATCTTTAGTTTTCACATGGTGCAGATCAGAAGATACATACTGATTAAAAAAAATTTAGGCTCATGAACGACCTTTTACAAATTATGCTATAATTAGTAGAAGTATAATTAAAAAACCTCTTGATCTGTCACCATGAGGGACCTCTTTGTGTTCTTACATTGTTTTAGGGTACACAAGGAATTAAAGCTGTTGTAGCACCTAAGGTAGAACTCCATTTGTTGAAAATCTACATCTGCCATGATGGTTTATAAGCCCTTAGAATGGAAAAGGCATCATGGAAGTTTCACTTTTGCAACACCTGGGAATCTGCCTTTTGCCAACCAATGATGTAAAATACAGTCAATATTTGCTTTGTGCTTTGCTCCCATGGTGAGCTGCTTTGTGGGCATACATGAGCATACAAATTATCATTAGCAAAGAAAAAGGGACATTTATAATTGATTAGTAATTAAATAAACACAAACTACTTCATTTATTCTATTTGAAAGCTATTTGAATTAAATATTGGACAATAATTACACTATTTTCATTGAACTAATGATGAATTTGAATCATTAATCTATTTTCATGTATACTTTCAACATGGATAGTAATGTAATATATCTAAGGAAGAGTTATTATGTGCAGGTGAACACATAGAAAATAGTTTAGCTAATAGAAAGTGCAAGTATTCAGTGGTAGTCATTGTCCTACATCAACACACAGTCTAAAAAAAAAACAACCTCCCCCATTTCCCCTGATCAGATACACTGAATGTTTGAATGACAGCGAGAAGATGATTCAAACGAACACTATGGTGATAGCAATACAAACATGTATTTCTAACACATAGTGTTCTACTCTCTATTTAGATTCACCATCCGCCCCCAAAAAAATGTTTAAAAAGGGAAAATCTTTTTTCCAGCATAGAGATTCACTCTGTGCAGCGGCCCGCTCCATCTCCATGGACATCGTCTTGCAGGCAATCTCCTCTTTGTCTTCTAATCCAACCCAATGCTTCACAGAGCAACATTGGGCACGAGAATGGCATGTGTGGTGAGCGCCATGCTCATTCAATCAAATGCATCCCTATAATAATTATCTGAGGATGTGCAACATTTTCACGCAAAGCATGAGGACATGGAAAGTCACATAATTGTATTGGACTTAGTCATTGCAGCACTCTCAAAGTGTATTTAGCCTTGCAATGAAAACATTATAGTATCTACAAAACAGCAATATTTTCCAATACAGGAGTTAAACAATAGGCCACTGCACTGAGATCAATGACAGTTGATTGGGGAATGTACTAATGCAGCCGGTAATCAGCCGTCAAATAAGGTACAGTAGCTAAATAGTCATTTGCATATGCCTACACAGAATCCCTTGCACTAGTGAGAGCACTGTTCAAGTGAGATTTCTGTGGTAAAAGCAAGTCTTATGGCTTGCTGGGTATGTGTATTTGTGTTTAATGTTGCATTATTATATATATATATGACACACTTCTTAATTAATGAATTAATGTTTTTCAATCACACCCATTGCCACAGTTGTATAAAATCAAACCTAGCCAAACATTTGTGAAAGAAATGGGTCAAACATCCTGTGAATTCAAGCATGGTACTGTGATAGTTTGCCACATTTGAAATTAGTCAGTTCATGAAATTTCATCCATGCTAGATATTCCAAAGTCAACAGTAAGTGGTATTATTGGAAAGTGGATGCATTTAGGAACAGCAGCAACTCATCCACAAATCGGAAGACTATGTAAAGTTACAGAGCAGGGTCACTGATTGCTGAGGTGCATGGTGCACAAAAGTCGCCAAATGCTCTGCTGATTCCATAGTTTAAGAGTTACAAACTTATCCTGGAGATAATTGGCTTAAGTAACTGTAGTAAACTCAATTATCTCCAGGTACAGAATATATCACCAAGTTACAACTGCAACAAAACACATTAAAATACATAACTAAAATTCTATAGAACTGAACCCCCACATTTGACCTATCCCCAGATAGCTTGGATCTGAGCGCTCAATATAGCCGAACAGCGCTCAGATCCCACGAACACAGTTAAATCGCCATGGGGGTTAAACAATAGCAAGGGCTGATGAGAGATTGAGGAGGGACAAAGCAGCCAGTTTCAACTGGTCTGGCAGTGTCCCTGGAACAACGCCCTGTTGGAGAACAATGGGACAGGAAACGGGGGAGGGGAAGAGGCACACCTTCCCATGGATTCAAAGGGGCAGAAAAAGTGTCCCAAAATCCAATAAGCCCAAACAGACTTTTTAAATAGCAATACTTCCCAGGGGCCATAGTCACAAGGCAAGAGGCTGGCAATTAGTGCTCTCCAGGCACAGGAGGGCACTTCGTCACACTTACATTTAATGATATCAGGTACACCTTACTGATGAGGCCAAAAAGAAGGCCGAAACGATCGTCTGGGGTTGTTGTATCTCTTGTGCAGAGATAACTTGCTTGCATTTTGGATCTGAACTGCCCATATGGGGCCCATGACTCATAGGGATATCTACAGTATCTTTACCATCATTGAGATATGTTCCTTATTATATACAAAAGTTAAGGTCATCTTTGGGTGTGAACGTAAAACAGCATAAGCAAAGTGCACAACCCGGTTAGTTGATCCTCGCCGCGAGTTGATTGTTTCTACTATAAGTGACTCTCTCTTTTCTTTTCTCTTTTTCTTCATTCTCTTTTCCCCCATTTTCGTTTATGCTGACAGTGAGTTATAGGGAGTCAAGGTAGGCGAAAGTTTATTTTCTTATGTTGTAGGTTCTGAGCCTCTTTATCAGCTTTAGTCAAATATTCTAAGAGAGAGAAAGAGAGAAAGAGAGAAAGAGAGAAAGAGAGAAAGAGAGAAAGAAAGAGAGAGAAAGAGAGAGAAAGAGAGAGAGAGAAAGAGAGAGAGAAAGAGAGAGAGAAAGAGAGAGAGAAAGAGAGAGAGAGAGAGAGAGAAAGAGAGAGAGAGAGAGAGAGAGAGAGAGAGAAAGAGAGAGAAAGAGAGAAAAAGAGAGAGAAAGAGAGAGAGAGAGAGAGAGAGAGAAAGAGAGAGAGAAAGAGAGAGAAAGAGAGAGAGAAAGAGAGAGAAAGAGAGAGAGAAAGAGAGAGAAAGAGAGAGAAAGAGAGAGAAAGAGAGAATATGGGGCAGGAGATATATTAAACAATACACAAAATTCTCTTACTATTCCTATAGTGTAAACTTTAATTAAGGTAACTTAATTATATTAAATCCTATTTGTATTTATCTAGTGACTATAAGTGCTCTTCTATGTGGCTGTCTTAGTGTAAATGTTATTTTTATCAACACCTTCTATTTCCTGTATTATAATGATGTGCTTTCTTTATTATCATAAATTCATTTCCTTTATTTATCTCAGAAAATGTCTACTTTACTGTGTTAAATTTGTTTCCATTCACAGTTTTATATCTGTCTTTTGTATTTATATCAGATATATTATATTTCTATTTTATTCTATTTTTATCTGTGTTGCTTTTCTATTTTTCCGTCCCCCCTTTTTTAACCTTCCTTCTCTCTCTTTCTTTCTTCCCCTTCCATTCTTCCCTTTTCCCTTCCCTTTTCTTTTTTTGCTGATTTCTCACTTTAAATTTTACTTTCCTTTGTGAAAATGTGATGAAGTGATTTATACAAATATTATTCTACTCCTCTAATACTTATTCTTAGTACCTTCCTTGTTTTTTTTATCTCATTCCTCCTCCCTTTTTCCTAGACATATTTAAGATTATTAAGCCATATGGAAAACACCTGGATCTTTAGCAAAACATTATTACTAACAAACACAAAAAAAAAGAAACATTTTTTTTGCAATCATTGTTTACCTTTCAGGTCTACCCTCTTCCTTTGCCATTTAAAAGTTTGTGACTTTTCTTATGCATCTCCCTATATTGTTCATAGCTTCCGTTTCATCCTCCACATCTCTACTCCCCATTCCTTCTATTAGATTTTTCTGCAAAGATTATTAGTTCAACCACTTATTTATATTTGTGTCCAGTATGGTCTTTTCCATCCTTCAGATATACAATTATTTATATAGCGCCCAAATATTCTGCAGCACTGAACAATAGGAAACAAGACAGACATTTAATTCTAACAAATAATGTATGAAATAAAAGGAACAATAGGTGAAGAGAGCCCTGCCCAAACAAGCATACAATCTAAAGAGATAAGGAACAAATACATGAAGGAAAATAAGGGACAAGTATAGGAAGTGTGTT